ACATGGTTCATAGCTCAAACGATAAAGGGATAAGGCTGTTGGCGTTGATCAATTCGTAAGGTATACGCTATGTATTCATCTTCATGCAGCGTCGTTAGAGGTGACTGAATGCATATCTGGTCTACACTGATTTGCGGAGGCCTACCGATGTATCCTGTAAGTGCTCTCAGACAAGTCTGATATCACTTTACCAACCCCTGAGGGATGGGAGGCTTGGTGAGCCCTCGTCGAGGGATCAAACCAGTGACCATATGTATTATAGGTCACTCCTTACCACTGTTCTACACGCGCCGCGATTTGAAACCCACCGGTCGAGTATAGACATACTCATATACATATACGACTTTATTTAGATTTTTGGTGCAATGAGAGAAATGCAGCTACAATTCACTCATTGTAACTGCATTCATCCTTCAGGGTTACTCGGTTGTTTTCAGGTTTGTGTTTCTGTGATTGCGGCAAATCGTAAATGTATTCGAACCGGTCGATAACATCCTTAAGATCCTGTTCCGCTCACACATTGAGAGGTGTAATTCATTGTGACGTTTGCATGTTGGATTCTTAGGGTCCCAGGCTAACCTTTTCTGTCGTCTCTTATGTTGAATGTGGCCAAAGATAACTATTTGGAGTGATCCAGACTTCCTCCATAACTGTTCTTTCTGCGAGTGCTGATTTTGTCATATATTGTTAAAGTTACAAGTACTGGTTTCTTAAAACTAGCTTTAAGTGTACAAACGTCTGTAATCATTTGATATGCACCAAATTTGTACCTGTAAATTCACAGATGATTCTATGACCGTAGCTCTGACGTATTAGAGGAGAGAGAGAGAGAGAAAGAGAAAGGGGATGGAGGGGAGTGGTGGTTTGTGAGATATTTTCTAAATCTTCTACAAAGGGAAGCATTTTTTTATTTCACTGTATTGTTATACCACTTCGTTCTTCTTCCCGCTACTTACACGCAATTTTTGTTAAGTAAAACTTAAATTCAGTTGTTCCACATGTTTGTTCGTTGGAAGATTGAGCTTCCAGAGAACTAATGGATTTGTTTTCAGCCTCGGCTCATGTTCGACGATACGGTTTGATAACATATGAGTTCACTGAACCAGACGCTAGGTGATGATAATGCTCACGTACAGGAGTTAAAAAGAGTTGGTATTTTCTTTTGTATTTTTCCTATGCAGTTCTTGTCTTTTAGCAGTAGTTTTCTTTTGAGAAATTTCCGGAAATGAAAGCAACAGTGGAATTAGTATTGGAGTTGGCCATGGTACTATCGTCTTATGCCTCTCTCATGGCCCACAGCATTGCACAAATACTGCACTTATAATCATCGTGTTCTGTAAACAGAAAGTGCACGCTGCATAAGGCCAGCGAAAACATTGGAATAGCTACTTTAGCCGTTCTGGTTCTTTGCAGTCCCGAGGTTAACCTAGCCAAAGTCTGCCCTAGGTCGTCACCACCAAAGGCTGTCGCCACTCTTGTGGATCAGAGGGAGATTTGCAACCATGCGACTAGTTTGATACCAGGTTGGTGGTGCATCCTGGTATTGGTTTACTTTTATGTGGGCTTCCTGATGGAAACGTCGGACCCCTTCTTAGCATAGGAGACCTTCCTGGGGATGATTCCTTTCGCTGTACATCGCAGCCCGAAATTCAAGAACACTTCCCAGATACTATGAGGCGGTAAACCGTTGAGAAGTATTATATTTAAAGCTGCAAGATTTTCTACTTGCTAACGGAGGGCTGAGTATGATTAGAAGTTTCGAGTTTTCTGCAATAGGAGAAAACGTATCCTCCTCGCTGTTTTTTTCCTTATCTGTATGTGTTTCTATGCACTTTGTATTCGCTTTATTGTGCTTGATAGATAGGTCTTACGTAGATTACGGAAAGAATGAAAATACCAGGATGTGATATTACACCGAGGTAGTAGTGATGAAGTTTCTTGTCGCAAACCTGTTTTATTGTGGTCGACCGCCCATTCTGGGTTAATGTAACATCCAACATTTTTTTCACAGGATTCAATGATGTATTAGCTAGGTGGTAAACAGTCTGGTTTAAGATAAATTTGAACACTGAAGGAAATATGCCAAAATCACCGAATTTCTTCATACTAAAGTGCTATAGTCGATCGGTGTACCTGAGGGTAGTTGAAGATATCCAGTTGAAACCGCTAGATTTGGAGCTTTTTTATCGTAACTGAGATGATTATAACTCATGAAGTTTTTCTTTCAGCTATTTCTATCAAGCAATGTAGACGAAAATCAGTGTTTGAATTCGGACGGTCTCTTTCTTTTGTGTGAGAAACTGAAACTAAGCGCGTTCGCGGCGACCGTTGCCGAACGAGTTCTGTGTGGTGCCGACGTTGTCGACTTTTATGTAAGTTTCAGCCAAAAAATAGCTTTGCGCAACTTCTCTCGATACCGGCATCATTTGTAGTACAGTATTTTTTTAAGGACTTCAAGGACCGATTCGTATCGTATCTACCTGAGATTATCGATGTTTCCTCCGGGACGGTAGATCCACTACTGGCATGTGCTCAGGATACAGCACATTAGGATATGGAGATGGGCGGAGGTTAGGATGATTTATGTAAATATTAAAATATATCATTCATTGGACCTTTACCACTTTTACTCTTCAGTCCCAATACTGTACGCTAAAACCTGTATTTTACTCACCTTACTCCAGGAAGTAGTATGTTGCTGATTTAGCATGATTTTCCCTGGTGCCAAGGCGTTTTTAGGCTCTCAGCACAAGTGATCGTCAACCCTCATGTGTGAGAACGAGATTTATCATCCTGTCACCAGTCGTTGTAGATTAAGCCGCACTCACTTCTTTTGAATGGTGTTGAATCCATTGCCTGTTTAGCGACTATGTCTTTTCAAAGCCTTCACGCACTGAAAATGTATCATTCATACAAAGTAAAACGATGTATAGTAAGACGTTCTTCATCAACTCGCATGTCACGCTTATTTAACTCGCTCGTGGGGTTAAGAGCACTTTACAAACCGATTCCACAGACTTGGTGTTTTAGTTTTTCCCTTAATTTATCTGCAGGATATTAGCATTATGTTGCATCTATATTAAGTTAATTTCATTAATAATCACGCCATCAACACCATTTCGAGTATATGTATATATATATATCTGTATATGCACATGTACATAAACATATATGTACATATATATGTATATGTGTATGTGTGTAAATATAAAGAATAGAGTATAAAGCTCTCGGCGCTGATCATTCCGTGTTGGACGTGCCATGCATTCGACTTTATTAAGAATCGTTGGAGGTGATCGAATGCATATGTGAACTTTACAGTGATTCNNNNCGGTGGCCTACCGATGTATCGTGCCCTTGCTGTTAGCCTTTCAAGCAAGTTGGTACCAATTTGCGGACCTTGAAAGGATGGAAAGCTTGGTGAACCTGGGGCGCAGTGTTCGATCCCATGTGTATTGTAGGGCTCCTCCGACCGTTGCTCAAGTCGCGCTATTCTATATATGTGTATATATGTACATGTATATGCGATTGAGACACTCACTTGTTTCCGACATACTTTTTGAGAATTATACTCCAGCTTTACATTTACTATGCCGTCTACATAACAGATGCTTTCCATTGTTTCCAAAATCGTCCAGGTTAACATGAGCGTAACTCTGTGAACTAACGAAAACTTGAATGTTTTTCTTCAAATTTATTAGAGTTTATTTGTAGGGCATAATTTTCCGTGGATGTGTTCCAGATTGACTCGATATGAAATACGTCTGCTATGCGAGAATACACCGAACCTCGTTCAACTGTCCATAGTTGACATAAATAGTCTTTTCGAGCATGCTGATATAGAGCGAACGGGAAGGATTTCTGTGCAGCAGTTCATTGCTCAATATCGACTTCAAAAACGCCTCAGTGCAGAGGTTCACTTCATTCTTCTTTATCTTTTTTGGGTGTAGAGAAGTGGGGGTATTTAAGTTTTTATCTGGCCTGTTAATTTCCTTTTTACTGTTGGTCCATTAGGTTCATTTTATCGCTGATTCGTTCATTTCGTCGCTCAACCTATTTGAAGCTCTCGATTCAGCAAATTCTGGGTCAGTTGTGATAGTTCCTTTCAATTTCTAGTATTGTTCAATATTGTGTTTTTTACAGCAGTATTGATTCCCATGATTTGCTTCAATATTGGAATAAGGCTGGGTTACGGATAGACGAAGGTATCGTTGTGTTAAAGGTGAGTTTGATCTCAAATATCCTTGTGTT